ATGAATCCATACATAAGATACCACTAATACTATACTTCCAGATACTTGTTTCAATCCCCCCGAAGAAAGATTTGATTTTTTTTTTTTTTTTTTTGTTTTACTTTTCGGTATTCACTTGGCTTTGAAATGAACCAAAAAAAAAATTACTTAATTTTTCAATTCCGCAAACAATTATCAGATGGCGATACTAGTTTCAATGAAATTTGAATCGGGGTAAAAAAAAAATATCATTTCCTCTGCCCATTTCCTAACATCCACATTATGGTAGTAGTATGGAAAATAATTGAAATTTTTTTTTGGAATGTGGGTGTAAAATAGAATAGAATCCTTAACCACTACCACAGACAGAAAAAATATCTTATATGAAAACACCTGCTTTCAATATTATTAACCACTACTATTCGAATATATATCCAACATCACACATACACACCTGAGTCGTCGAATATTTTGAAAAAAAAAGATTCCTTATTGCTTTTTTTTCGTATGTTGTTGTTGTTGTTGTTGTTGTTATCATAAATGTGTATTATGGATGTTTAGGTGCATGGCTTTGGATTCTCTGTACTTTTTTTTTTTTTGCTGTGCCCGTGGCCGTCATCGTCGTTGTTGTTGTTGTTGACGTTCATTCATTCATTCATTGTGGTGGTTTATGATTCTTTTTTTCAAAACAAAAACAAAACAAAAATTCTATGAAACAACAACAACAACAACAACAATAACCGAGCATTCAATAAAGAATTTCTTTTTCGATTTAAAAACCGATTCGGCAACCAAAAAAAAAAATCCGAAAATATTTTTGTATTTAGTGGGTATTAATAATCACACCCACTTTGCTCATCAACAACATTGTCGTTAATCAAATTTTATCATCATTAACATCATTGACATCGACAAAACAAAAAAGCAAATACTAACCGATGATTTTATTATGAAAAAACCACTACCATCATCATCATCATCATCATCATCATAGTAATTATAATCATCGGGCTTAATGATACAAGTGTGTATAATCAGGAGAAAAAAAATCCAAACTAAAAGAAATGATAACTGGCAAACGATAATTTTTTTTGTTTTGTTTTGTTTTGTTGACAAAATATGAATAATATGGGATATCTATAAAAATTCATAAAATATTTTTTGTATTTTCTGGTGGTTTTGCCTTGCCTTTTTCTTCTGCTGTTCTTTCAAAATCATTCGATTTTTGTTTTGTTTTTTTTTTCAAAAAGAAAACAAAAATAGTGAGCATCCTTTTTTTCAAAAGAAAAAGAAAAATATTTGTTATCATCCTCAACAACACTCAAACAAACAATCATCATCATCATCGTCTGTCAGCCAATCAATGTCTGTTTATTTGTTTCATAATATTATTATTATTATTGCTTGAATATTTTTTTACAATTATATCTCTCTCTATGTGTGTTTGTTTTACAATTAATAATAATAATGATAATAATAATATCATCAGGCAATACCACTTCTACTAATTAATATAATATTTAAAAAAAAAAGTAAGAAAACAAAAAAAAAAAATTTTGTCACCAAAACGACAACATAGATAGATTAATGTTTTTTTTATATCGCGCGACTCCAAGGTCCAATTTACTTATTGTTGGTGTTTATGTTTTACGGGGAAAAAAAAAAATTTTTTAAAGATTTTTTCTTTTCGAACGTTAATGAACATAGTGAAAAAACGGTTTTGATTTCTAGTCCCCCCCACCACCACCATCATTCGTTCAAATACAGCCAACACCTTCAGCATCAATTAATTTATGGATTTTTTTTTCTTCTATGACTTTGGATTTCCTTTTTGATTTTGTTGTTGTTGTTCAACTTACAGTTAGTTGTAGTGGCAAATTGTATGTTTAGAAGAAAAAAAATCATCAATTCAAGGTGTTTGATTTACTTTTTTTTAAAAAAAATCAATAAATCAATCAAATCAATTGATAATTGCCTCACTTTTTTTTCCAATTATCAAATCGAAAAAAGAGATTAAGAATTGATCGATATCATTCAATTTTTATGATTTTGTTTTTTTCTCAAATTGATAATTAATTAATTGATTGCTTTGTTTTTGTTGTTTCGTTCACCTTTCTAATTATCTTTTTTTTTCGTTAATTAACTATAGATGTTATCGTCGTCGTTGCTGTTCCAAAGTAATAATATATTCGACCCTTGAATCAAACATAATCGATTGAATTCAAAACAAAACCCAAACCAAAAATCAATTTTCAAATAATCATCATTATTGTTGTTGTTTATCATACGCCTTAAAAGTTTTTTTTTACATAGAAAATTTATTTATTTAAGCAAAACACTTGTTGTTTGTTTGTTTGTTTGTTTACATTTGAATGAATTTTCACCTGACAAAAGAATCGAAAACAACAACAAAACTACGATAATCATTTCAATCATGAAAATATAAGAATCTGTGATTTGGAATTTGTTTCTTTGTTTATTTTCTCCACATCATTGTCATTTGTATTGTATTGTGTAAATATTCTTTACTTCTTCAATCAATTTATTCATCAAGCAATCAATCAATCAATCAATTTTTTCCCTTTATTGAAGACTAGATATTCACTGAATTTTTTTTTTAAATTGAAAGAATTTCTTGGCCAATTCGTTGTTGATTTTTTTTACTACTTATATAAATGGACGGCCAAAATCATCATCATCATCATCATCATTTTAATCATCATCAACCACAACAACAACATCATCAATCAATCATAACACAAGTAATGACAGATGGTGATTGTAGTCATCATAATCAATCACAGACAACAATAACATCACCAATACCAACAAATATTACCAATTTAAATGTGAATAATTATCAGAATAATGATAATGATTCTGGTAAGTTTTTAATTGAAAAAAAATCTTTGAATAAATATTGATGATAATTTTTCTTTTCCATTAATTACAAAACAAAGATGTAAAAATAACGAAAAAGAAACGACATAAAAATATTCTTCATACATTATTCTGTTGTTTTCGTTGTGTTCGTACACCTGAAGTTGCCTCTTCCGAGGAAAGTGTTTCACTTGCCGTATGTATTTTTTGTCTATTTTTTCTAATGATTTATTTAATTATGGAAATTTTTATTTTTATTTTGGCCAGTATCATCAACATTTATTGCCTAGTGTTCGTAGCCAAGATTTGAATAAAATTTGCCTGGTCATCGATCTTGATGAAACACTTGTGCATAGTTCATTTAAGGTAATTTTGATATCAGGATTTTTTGTTAATTAATCAATGATTGATTGGTGTTTTTTTTCGTTCTTTATTCAGCCAATAAGTAATGCCGATTTTATTGTACCAGTGGAAATTGATGGTACTACACATCAAGTTTATGTTCTTAAACGACCACATGTTGATGAATTTCTACAACGTATGGGTGAAATATATGAATGTGTCTTATTTACAGCTAGTTTAGCTAAAGTAAGTTTTATTTTCAATCAATATTTGAAGAATTACTAATTTACAAAAAAAACTTTACAAATAAATAGTATGCCGATCCAGTTGCCGATTTACTTGATCGTTGGGGAGTTTTTCGTGCCCGATTATTTCGTGAATCTTGTATATATCATAATGGAAACTATGTTAAAGTAAATTTTTGTTTATTTGAAAAACTTTTTTCTATTTGCTAAAAATAATTTCTATTTAAGGATTTAAGCCGACTTGGTCGTGATCTAAACAAAGTTGTGATTGTCGATAATTCACCTGCATCATATTCGTTTCATCCGAATAATGCTGTGAGTAAAATTTAATTAAATTTTTAAAAGAAATTTGAATTTTTTCTTTTCATATCAAAAAACAATAGGTTCCAGTTGCATCCTGGTTTCAGGATATGAATGATACTGAATTAAGTGATCTGATACCATTTTTTGAACGTTTAGCCAAAGTAGATAATGTTTATAAAGTGTTGAAAAATGCACAAATTCAACAGCAGCAGCAACAACAACAATCAACAAATAATATGTTACCTTTGATTACAACAACTAGCAATACTGGTAATAACAATAATAATAATAATAATACGGCTACAACGACAACAATTATGACTAAAACGGCCACAATTGTTGTTGATCATCGTGCACCATTAAATTCACCGATGACAACATCGGTATTATCACCAAATCCACCTGTAGCAGGTGGTGTTGTATCATTCATACCGAATGTTACTGTTTCATCATCATCATCATCATCCTTACAATCATCACATTCATCAACGTATCAAAATCAAAACCCTCAACAACAACAACAACAACAACAGCAGCAATATCTAATACAAGGAATATCATCGCCTGGATCTACGACGACAACAACAACAACAACATCGGCAATAGTTGTACCAAATGGTGGTACTTCTTAGCTTTATTTTTCTAAATTTTAGTTGACAATACATAATCATAAAATGTCAATCAATCAATCAATTATATCATCATAAACTTATTACAGGAAGAAAAAAAACAAAGAAGAAAATCATTTGTCATCGTCGTTATTATTTTTGTTGTTGTTATTATTAATTATTAATTAATTAATTAATTCTATATAAAAAAGAAATCTTTATATATTACATATAAATTCTAATGGATTCATATAAATAATTATTATTTGTCAAATTACAACATGATTATAATTTAAATTTGAGAAAAAAGAAAATTTTTTTTCTATAAAAAAAAACAAAATCAATTTTTAATTCTAAACAGAGTGAATCAATTGATCAATGATGAATCAAAGGCTAATTTGATTTTCTAATCAATCAACAACAAAATTTGAGCAAAATCAACCGATTTTAATTTAACAATCATCAATAAATATTACTATCTATATCAAAGTATAACTTTAGTTTTTGAGAAAAAAAATATCACATTGTAATTTACAGCTTGCTCGGTTGATTGATTAGTTAATTTTTTTTTTTTGGAATGAACAATAGATTATTTTCTTACATTTTCTATATCAATATTTAAATTATTTCGATAATATTCAACAGTTTTATTCCATAATGATACAATCGTATCGCTTATATAATTTGGATCATTATAACGATTAGCATCAACTAAACCTAACATTGGTGGTAATGAAATTGATGATTTTGTTAGCCAATTATTTACTTTTTCATTTCGATAACAATTAATTGATTTACTAAAATCATAATGAACAATTTGTAGATCATTTGCTAATATACCGGATATAAATACATCATCGATCCAAAATAATGGTCTATTATTAGCAATTCGATATAGATCTAATGTAATATCATTTGACATTATAATTGTCCAACCATCACAATATGCTGGATAATAATGTTCAGAATATTCCTGAAATGGAAAAAAAAGTGTTAATCATAAAATAATTTTAGACAAAAAAAGATAAATAATTTACCTTATAGCTAACACGCCATTTACTACGATAGCTACGTGCAACACGACTTTGTTTATTAACATAACAGGCCATTAAACGTTGTGGATGATCACCAAATTTTCCACGTAAATAATAAATTAATTGATGAACATCAACAAATATATCATCATCAGCTTTGAGTATATATGATGCATATGGACAAAAATGATTGATCCATTTTAAACCCATTAAATGTTTATAGGTTATATTACGATATGTATCAAGAAATGAACCTTGTATTATGTCACCATGTATTTGACTTTCTTGTTCGATTTGATTTTGAATTGTTTCGTTTTCGGTTATTCCCAACATAAATACCAATCGAATATTTAAATTTTCAATACCATAACAAAATGAATGATTACCCCATGTTTTTCTTATTGTATTACGTTTATCGAAATTATTTGTTGCACTATGAATAAATATGGCTAGAAATAAATGAGAATTTTGTTCATCATCATTATCGATCGATTTACAAATATTTGGTTCGTTGATTAGAAATCGAAAATCTTTCAAATTCAATAATGTTGTTATATTATCATCAATTTTGATTGAATAATTCATCATTTTTGATCGATTATTTTGATCATTTCGAATTGGTAAAAATTTTCGTTTGAATTTCGAATGTTCATTATGGCCATCATCATCATCATCATCAATATTAACATTATGATCATTTAAAGAGAAAATTTGTAATAAAACAAATGAAATGAGTATTATTATGATCAAAGAATTTGTTTTCAATTTGGATAAACCCATTTAAATGTGATGGTATTTTGAGTTTTATGGTTAGCAATTGTCACGATTTTTATCTTAAGACAAACATTGAAAAATAACGGTAAATAATAAAAAAAATAGAAAACGCCAATAAAATTTTTTTTTCTGAAACGTCCTATTCGAATGGATCACACAGTGATTGAGGCTGTGTTTTAAGAAAAACAAACTTTCAAACAATCAAAAATTTCAATGTAAATTTTTTAGTTTTTTGTTTGTTTTTTTTTCGGGAAAATTTTTCCAAACCAAAAAAAAAATCATGGATTGGATGTATAAAGGTGTTTCCGGTCATGTTGATCGTGAAGATTATCTTACTGGACGTAAAATTGATAAATCATTTGAAATGTTGGATAGTGAAGAGAATCCAAAATTACATCAAAATGATGATGAATTTCGTTTACCAAATATCGCATCATCATCATCAACAGCATTAAATGATAATTTAGAACAATCAATAATGAACATGTCAAAAGCAGATATTATGGCTAAAATGCATGAAGATCCATTATTTCAAATCAAAATGAAACAATGGGAAAAACGAAAAGAATTATTAAAAAATCCATTAAAATTGAAAAAATTAAAAAATCTTTTACAATCATCATTGGCAAAAGAAGAGAAAAGTAAAAAACGTAAAAAGAAACGAAAATCAACGGATAAGAAGAAGAAAAAACATCGAAAACATCGTACCAAACATTCATCCACTTCATCATCATCATCGTCGTCGTCGTCATCATCCGAATCTGAATCATCAGATTCTGAATCTGATTCCCGATCGAAAAAATCCCGTCATCATCATCATAATCGTGATCATAAGAATAATCATCATAATAAAGACAAACATCAAAATGATAGAAATCATTCGAAACAAAAATCATCAATCGAATCATTTAAACATCGTAGTGATAACAACAATCGATATAGATCGAATCAACAATCGATACCACCTCCACCATCGAAAAATAAATCAAAATTAACGGAAGAAGAATTTGAAAAAAGACGAAAAGAAATGATGTCAAATGCTGAATGGCGTGAACAAACACGTAATGAAAAAGTAATAAAATTAAATGAACGTGATCGTTTGGAAGATCATTTAGCAAAAGAATCATTTCGAAAACAAAAAAATGATGATTCCGACGATGACAATCAAAAACATGGTGGTAAAAATCCCAATTTCATTCGTACAATGTTATCAAAAATGGCTGATAAAAACACGGTTGAAAGATCAGTACGACAGAAACGTTTTCAATCACAACGTGATCATCAAGCAATGGATAGAAATTTTGCAAGAAAAAGTTGAAAATTTCTTTGATTTATTTTATTCATGTTTCTTTAAAAAAAAAATAAAAATAAAAATTCAAATTTTTTTAAAAAAATCTAGGCCATTGATTGATCGGAAATTTGTTTCATCTTCAGTAAACATAACATACATTTTACAGAGTGTGTGTGTTACATAAGCCTCAGAAGAAATGTCACATCCATTTATTTATTGACATCAATTTCAATTTCATTTGTAAGATTGAAACACACCTTCATATATGCGAATTACGTAAAATGCGGACGGATGCAAAGTCTATTCTTTTATGAATTTTTTTTTTTTTTTTTTTTTTGTTTCATCCATCAATGTTTTACACACCTAGAAAAAAAATTAAGGCTAAATATAAGAGATGTCTTGAAGACCTAGAGACCTAAATTTATCAAAGAAAAAAAAAACCATCACCAATCAACAATATTCATGTGTGTGTGAAAGTGAAATCTGAAAGATTGAGGAAAGAAGAGAAATGAGAGTGATGCCTATTGAAATTTTTTTATTTTTTTTTCACATCACATAACGTATCCACAAGATATACCGATATATTTTAGCCCGGGTGATGTATGTAGATTTTGGAGAGATTTTCGTTATGACCTTGTCTATGTCCGGTTGGTCCAATAAGACCACCATCGCCACCAACAACAACAACAACAAAAACATCATTGATACACCATCGCCACCCCGACACCCTGAAGTATTACATCAGGATTGAGAAGAAAAAAAAATCAAACAAAAGATTTTTTTTTTCTCAATTGAGGATCGTCTCTCTCAATCGATGAATGATGCGGTCGATACATTTTTTTTTCGATGCGTCTTATGTGTGTGTGTAATGAAATGCAAGCAAAAAAAAATGTTCCCACGCATCGCGCAAGCTATTTTTTTCGAAAAAAAAACAGCAAGCGCGAAGAGAGTGAGAGTGAAATTTTCAATGAAAAGAAAAAAAAATTTTGAAAAGACTCTCGTGTAGAGTGGGAGAAAGTTGACAAGAAGAAAAGAAAAAAATGGAAACAAGGCCACTAGGTATCAAAACCAAAAAAACTGTTCCAGAAAAAGCAATAGGTAGGTAGGTAGGTAACAGGTCCAAGGTGTATAGACTTTCATGCATTCAACAACAACAGGCGCGGCAAATAACATAACATAGGTTTTGGGGTCGGGATTGACCCGTAATAATCCATATATGGTGAGAGGGAAAAGATGTTGACAACCAACAAAAAAAACGGTACCCACACCGCGCAAGATGCATCAATTTTTTTTCTGAAATTGAAAGTTTCATAAGAAGGCGGTGTTGGTGGTGAAGGAGGAGAAATGATCCAAAATGAATTTAAATGATCCACCTTCTCTAACATCAACATCTTTGAACATCGAAAAAAACTTTTGGAACCAAAGAAAAATCCATAGGAAAAAATCCCATATATAAAAAGCGGTTCGCAAAATTCTTTCCTTTTCTTTTTGACATCTAAGTTTGACTAAAGTCAACATAGACAAACGAAACGAAAATTTTGAACAATGATTTTTTTTTTGAAAAATAAAAGTAAAAATAATTTAAATTTCTGGTTAAAAAAAATCAAAATCATCATTATCGTCATTTGGTGAATAATTATGAATTTTGTTATTCAATTTGTTTTTCAATAAATATCAGTGAAAAAAAATAATGATGTTTTCGCCTACCTATTTTATCAACATCAACAACATCATGTAAAACTGTTATTTTTTCTAAATGGCAATGTCGTCATTGATTGAATGAACGAAAAAAAAAGTTTAAATGTCATCCAGTTATCCAATAATAATAACAACGATAACAACAACAACAGCGATGACATTAGCATCAGGCAAATAAAGATTGAAAAAAAAATCTGGGAATCGAACCAGATCGTTTGTTAATGATGATAATAATGATTCTGATTCTAATGAAAAATTTATATTTATCATTAGAATAGCCGGCCCGGGATTCTTTCTTCATTTGAACTGTTTGTTTTTTTTTTTTTTTTTTTGATATCTCTATATGTCAAGTGTGTCTGACATCATCATTGATTTGATTTGCTGTTTTTTGACAAAAAAAAAACAAATCATGTGATTATCAAGAATCATCAAACATCAAATATCATCATCATTATCTATATTTTGGATGCAACTTTTCATTCCATTCTTTGCCTTGTTTTTTTTTCATAAATGTAAAACCTTTTTGTTCACGTCATCATTCCCAAAATATTCCCATTCATTCATTCATTCATTTAAAAAAACAGGTAGAATATATTTTTTTTCAATAATAATAACAAAAAATATCTGTGTAAAATGTCGATTTTATACTTCCCTTTCTCCATCTCCCACTCTTGGTCTCCCTTTTTCACCGCCCCTCCACAATCGATAAAATTTTGATGCATGATTTTTGCAAATTTGCGTGGGTGGTAGTGTGCGTTAGTGTCTGTGTTATAGACAACACACATATGAAGATAACAATCAAAGAACCAGAACCAGAGAGAATCACAGAACAGACCAGAATTTCATCATCATCATCATTAGATGAAGAAGATTCTGCGTGCTAAAGGTACCATTCCCCCCACCAAACACTTTCTCATTTATCAACCAGAATAGATAGAAATGGAAAGACAACCCAACCACCACCACCAAAAAGTTTTAAAAACCAAAATTATCGTGCGCGCCAAGAGAGAGAGAGAGAGAGAGAAAACAGCCGATAGCTTATTTTATTTTAGGTATTTTTTTTTCTTTCTTTCTTGATCATGATCGTCATCAACATCAACAAATAATAATAATAACAACAACAACATGAGGATGATGATGATGACGAAAATGACGAAGAAGACGATGTTGATATTGTTGTTTCTGTTTCTTCTGCTGTTGTTGATGATGATGATGATGATGATCTTGGATCGCCGCACACCTTGAACTTGAAAAAAATATATTTTTTTTTCTTCTTGTTTGCAATGATTGTGTGTGTGTGCGATTTTTGTTTCATCATCATCATCATCATGATCATCATGATCAACAACATCAACATTATCAACGTTATAATATTTTTATTTTATTTTATATTTTTCATTCGATTAGATTAGACATGTTATTTTTTTTTTGGTTATATAATGATCATCATTGAAAGATAGTCAAAAATTCTTCAATCATTTTTGGTCATTCAATGTCTATCGATGTCTTTTGTTTGGTTTGGTCAATCAATGATTCCAAAATAGTTATCCATACACACTAAAGTTATCGAAAGTTGGAATTCCAGGTGACTGAATTTGATCATCATTGAAAAAATCATTTTTTCTTTCTATTGCCGGTAAGTTTGAAATTTTTTTTTCATTTGTTATGTTGCATGCATCTAATTAGTGTTCCATGATGGAATGTTGTAAGGGTCATTTTGGTCATTTAATTTGATCCAATGAAATTTCAGAAAAAAAGCAAGCAAAAACTTTTTCAATGCTTCTTGGTTGAATGGTTGAAAGGCTTGAATAAAATGATGGCCACTTGTTAACTCGATTGATTGATTTGATCAATGAATTCGTTTTATTTTTCCGTTCTTCGTTTTCGTTTTTTAAAGAATTTTTCTCGGGAAAAAAATTCCATTGAAAATTTGTTTTTTTTCAGAAAATATTTTCCATTTCAAAAAAAGTTTTGCAAACAAACGAAAAATTCCCTTGAAAAATAACTGCCCTTGAACTTGAAAAGTAAAATTCCACCGTTTTCTCCCCCAACGAATTCCTGAGCAAAAAAAATCAGGAAAAGGTGAAAGGTTGAATTATTCTGTACAGAATTAACAACAACAAAAATAATGATTTATCTGGAAATTCAAAAAAAAAAAAAAATGAAAAAATGAAAACCCAGATTGTTTTTTCTTTTCTGGTTGCAAAATAATGACAAACAAACAAGCAACAGCCAGAGAGAGAGAGAATAATATTTTTCCCAATCCAGAACCTAGAATCAAAAAGAAAATAATAAGAAAAAATACTAAGAAAGAAAGAAAAATCTGAAGAAGAAAAAAAAAATACTAAAATGAAAATCGCCAACAAAACAGTGAAAAACAAAAAACAAAAAACACAACCAAAAAAAAAAGAAAAAACCAAAGGAATGGCAAATATCTATGGTTCGGTTTAGTTTTGTATTTTTTTTTCTATCTTTCTTTCTTGATTCAGTTCGGTTCGGTTATATAATATTGACGTCAAACAATTCCCGGGAACCGAAACCGAGAAAAAGCAAAACTTGTATATATGATTATTGTATGTACAGTGTGTGTGTGTGTGTTGGTGGTGGTGTCTGCATAGATTATTTTATATAAAACCAGACAGCCAAAACAGAATCGAACAGAATAACAGAATCGCACAGGAGAACTTCGGCTTTAAATCAGGCGAAAAAAGAAAGAAATGATGATATTCAAAGACCGGACAAAACGAGAGAAAAAAAAGTAAAAATTAAGTCGAAAAAAAAGATGAAGAAAGAAAGAAAGATGAAGAAAGAAAAAATTAAATTCTTATGATGACGCCCGTATGAATTTTTTTTGCCCAATTCACATGATGATGATTATAAATCCAGAATCATCATCATTATTATTTAATCTTGTTGTTGTTGTTGTTACATTTAGTGGTTGGTTGGTTGGTTGGATTTTTTCGATTTTTGTTTCTTTTTGGTAGGCGTTTATCGCCTTTTGTAAATATTACATTTGAAACAAAAAAAAACCAGTGAAAAAAAATGAAAGATGTTATTTAGTTTTAGGCGTGTGTATTGATCTATCATTTATCCCATTTATCATTCCATTTGCTTATTTCAATTAGAGATTTCAGTTTTTTTTACTGGTTACCCCCATTCTCCTCCCATTTGCTTAATTGTATTTGAGTGCATGATATGATGAAAGAGAGAGAGAGAGAGAAAGAGAGAGAGAGAGAGAGAGAGAGAGAGAGAGAGAGAGAGAGAGCAAAGATCAAATTTGATTTTTGAAAAATTATAGATTCCAAAATAGTGCAATATGATGATGATGATTTTCTAATTCTGATTCTGATAACATAATTATCAAATCACAAAGAATCCAGTGTTGATGAAATTTCAAAAAAAATTGGCCAATTTTTTTTGGGTTCTGGTTGTTGTCTTAATTCAAATGAATCAGGCGCAATTTGCGTCATTACCCATTTTCAAAAAAAAAAAAAAAAAATGATATTTTGTTTTTTTTTTCTTCTGTGTGTGTACCTATTTGGTTATATTGAGAGAGCTAGAGAATCTCATCCTCTCATTTAAAATGATCAAGAAAAAAATATTTTTTCTTTTCTGGATCATTGATGATTGGATATCACTATGTTTTTTTTTCTGATATTTTTTTTACTGTTTGACGTCATTCGGGAAAAAAATATATATTTTTTCTTTTCGGCTACTGACGAATGATGTTGATGGACAAATAATTTTTTTTTCTATCCGGGATTCATCTTCATCAGTGAGTGTGTGAGTGTGTGTGTGGGATTTTATTTTTGGAACATAGACCATATAGTGAACATTAACATTAGTCCCAGGAAACAATGATTCTATATTGCCTTTTTTGTTCATTTGCTTCAGTTGTTGTTGTCGTTTTCGTTGACATATAGAATAACACCCACGCAATAGCGCCCACAGTTGAAATAGTAGTTGGGAAACAAAAAAAAAATCCTAATATGGTGAATGGGAAAAACGTTATTATTTTTCAATGTCAATGTCGAAACAATTTGTTTTTGCTTTTCTCTTCTCGCTTTCATTTTACATTTCCAATGGCAATCCAAAACATTCGCATCAATAACAAATTGATTATGTCCAGATGAAAGAGGGGGCATCTAAATAGGGGGGAATTGGAAGAAAATCAATCAGATCGATTTGCTTACCTTTTGGTTCGAATGATCTTTGATCTTTGACATAAGAATGGTCAAAAATCAAGAAATAAAATCAAATCAGTTTTTTCCCAGAAAAACAAAAACAGAAACACATAGCGAAAACGAAAGATTCAATATTCATTTCTAATTGAATCTATATAGAGATTATTCTATAGATGTATACAAATCATTGATATTTGTATTGCCCTGCAGTGGTTTTCTCTACATCTCTCTCCATCTCTCTCTGTGTGTTTAAAATAAATTATTTTGGCTGAAAATGGCAAACAGAAGAAGAAGAAAAAAAAACGATATCATTGATAATGATGATAATGATGTTGATGATGATGGTAGTTGTGGGTGTAGTGTTAACAAAAAAAAATTTCTTCCACCATTTTTTTTTTAATCATTTCGAATGTTTAAGTGGTTGAATGGTGATTTGACGAACGAATTGCAACCCTGACAGCAAATTGGATTCGAATTTAGCTTTTTTTTTCTTCTTCAAAAATGATATTATCATCATCATTGAATGAATGGTCATAATGAAATTCAAATGCCCGTGGGCAATTATCGTTGGCGGCGGTGGCGGTGGCTATGGCTATGGCGGCAGTAAATGTTGTTGTTGGTGGATAAATTTTTGGTTGGTTGGTTGTTTTCGATGTTGTTGTTGTTGAATAAATTTTTTGATGGAAAAAATATAAGATTTGTTGATTGGAGGCAACAACTCGATCTTCTTTTTCAATCGCCATTCCACGGATGTGTTTATGTCGATCATTTTTATCAGCGAAAACAGAAAAACAAAAATTTTTGATGTTTTAATGATGATCATCATTTTTCTCTTGGTGATTCTATTCGAAACGATAAATTCAATTTTTTGTTTAATGAGAAAAATAAAATTATATTTTTTTTCCAACTTACCTGATTTTCATGTTTTTTTTCACCTGTAAATACAGGGTATATTTGGCGTGTGAAATTCAAGGAAGATATTTTTCTTTTTTTGTTGGAAAACATTATGACAAGAAGAAAGCAACAACAAAAACAAATTACAAATAGATAGAATTTATAACCAAATGTCGAATCGTGTACCATTATCAAAAACAACAACCAAAACAACCAAAATTAAAACATCGACAACCCAGCAACCACCATTATCATCATCTTTAACCACTATTTCCACTTCCCGTTCTATTTCAACTACCATTAATCCAATTACCTCGATCAATATTTCAACTCAGTCCCCATCATCATCATCATCATCAATACAAACATTCGATTCGACTATTTCGACTTCAGTAGGAATCACACAACCACTATTATCAACAACAACAACAACAATATCCTCTTCAATAATAATGCCTTCATTAGTACATAATACCAAACGTAAACGTTTGGATGCTGTTGTAAATAAACTTTCATTATCAAAAATATTTAATCCATCTACATTATCATTATTATCATCCACATCTTCATCATCATCATCATCATCATCATCGCCAACAACAACAACAGCAATGTCGACAACTATATCGACAGAAGCAGCCACAACAACAACATCAATAATTAATCCATCATCGACTGATATAATCGATTATGATGATGATGACGATTCACCAGAATTAACAACAGCAACAACCATGGAACCAATGATAATTGAAACAAAATCATCATCATCACCATCACCAAAAAAACAATTATCATTAGATTCTGAAATGAGCTTGAATGTTGGTAATTTAAATCTAAATATTTCGAATGAAAAATTTCAAACACAGCCACCAACATCAACAACATTATCATCCTCATCATCATCATCGAACATATCATGTCCATTAAAATATTCAAAATCTGAACAAATTGATAATCAAATGGCTACTTGTTCAACAATAACATTAACATCATTGAAAAATACTCCACCCACAACAACAACAACATTAACAAAATATGCAGGTGAAATTATTGTTTCGGGCAATATTTTTGTTGAAAAAGAAAAATATTTTGATGATAAACAGCAACAGCAACAGAAGAAGAAAAAAGAAGATAATGACCATGAAGTTGTTGGCGGTGATGGTGAACGATCATTTTCAGGACCTAGATCATCAACATCAGGTAGCAACAAGCTACCAGTGATGATCACATCATCGTCGACTACAATCGACTACAGTAGTCGATCAGGTAATTTGTTTTCAACTTTATCATCATCGTCGTCGTCGTCTTCATCGTCTTCGTCTTCTTCGTCTTCTTCATCGTCGACAGCTACAGTCAAAAACTTGAATACGAATGAACAACAACAAAATTATGAACAGGAATCTCAATTAACATCAACAACAACAACAGCAACAGCAACAGAAAAAATTTCATTTAAAAATGAAGAAAAAAATGATAAAGGCAAACTCTTAAGTCACGATTTACAGAGGCCAAAACAACAACAACAACTGCAACAAGAAGAGGCCAAAACTATTGGTGAAAATTCAACTTTGACGTCGTCTTCATCATCATCATCATCATCGACGGCGGCAACGGCAACGGTGGCCAAATTCCAGCAGCAGCAAAAGCAGAAGCAACAGGTGACCGATCATCATCATCATCATCAACAACAGAAGCCATTGCCACCGTCGTTGAAACAACAACAACAACAACAAGAAGGCTGTTTTGATGACGAGAATGAATACCAGCAGCAACAGAAGCAGCAACTAAATCTAAATAAGCAACAGGTCAATGTTGAATCAACAACAACAACATTGGCCATTCAGTCGATTTCGACCGGCGAATCGATCGTATCGACATCGACGATATCACAACCTTCACCATCACAATCATCATCATCATCATCATTAATAAAACCATTTAAATTACCATTATTTGATTGTTTACCATCATTTCAATGTAAATGTCAACATTGTCATCATCAACATCAACAGCAGCAACAACAACAACAACATTCGATTCGAATACCAACAACAACTAGCATAATATCAATGCCAACTAGTTCAACACCATCGACCATCATTATGACGGGTCATCATAATCATCATCATCATCAACAACAACAATATTGGCCACAATCAACATCAACATCAACATCATCATCGGCATTATCATCAACAACAACAACAACATCGGCTTCATCATCATCATCATCAACAGCAATATGGTTTAATAATTTAAAAAAATTTACATCAACCGGTGGTGATGAACGTTCATTATCACCAACCGCATCAACAACAACACCACCAGTTATGTTGGGTAAATGTTTATCACCACCGATATTGGAATCGGCACGTATACCAAATTATAAGAAACAGATTTTATCATCTGCATTAAAACAACAACAACAACAACAACAACAAAAACAATCATTAACATCCTGTATTGATTTAATAATACCACCGGGTAAAAAACGTAGCTATTCTGATTCCGATGTACTAGTCGCTGATTATTTAACAATGAATGCAAAAGCATTAGCTGAAGCTGCCGCAGCAGTTAAAAGTAACACTGCCGTACAACAAGAGGAACCAATTCCATTGATTGGATCCGGTATGACGATGATTCAAGATAAAAAAATACGATCATTGCCAAAACCATTATTATTATCTACTAAAACACCATCAACAACAACAACAACAACAGCAACATATCAACATCAACATCAACAAGAATGTCCATTAGATTTATCACGTAAAACAATAATAACTAAACATCATCATCCGCATACAATACCATCATTGACAGCTATTTCAACAACAATGCTCAATACTCCTGTAGCAATAGCTACTACTTCTGCTCATTATCTATCATCATCATTATCATCAACATCATCATCATCATCATCAGCAAAAACAACATCATCATCATCATCATCATATACACCGAATATATTTTTTAATGAATCTGATCCTAATACGCCAAATATTTCTTCGATTACATTTCCTTTTCCTTCAACAACATCGACATCGACAACATCCGAATCAGCATCATCATTATTATTGAAATATTCAAATTTATTATTAACAACAGCAACAGCAACAACAACAAAATCATTGACATCATCATCGGTACCATCACTTACATCATCATCATCAACAAATTTACAAATAATATCACCGAAAAAAACTAAATATTCTTCACAGATATTATCATCAACAACATCGACAACATTATCACCACCGATTGGACAATCAATTAAAACATCGAAAACACCGATAACAACAATAGCCGATGATATAATAACAAGTACAACATATCAACGTCAATCAACAAAAAAATCATTCAAATCAAAAAGTACAGAATCATTTTCAATAACAACTGGTTCGACAACAGCTAATATTCCGACCGGATCTTCGAATATTTCTGATAATAAAAGTTATTCATTAACCGATCTTATTGTTGATAATAATAATCAACGTAATCAACGTGGTTCATCATCATCATCATCATTTCAATGTACAATTTGTAATGAAACATTTGCCCAACATGATCGTCTTGCTAAACATATTGCAAGTAGACATAAAAATCGTCAACAATGTGATTCGATAACGAAAAAATATCTATGTGAAATATGTCATCGTTCGTTTGCACGTAGTGATATGTTATCAAGACATGGACGTGTACATACCGGTATTAAACCATATGCATGCGATATTTGTGATCAGGCATTTTCACGATCGGATCATTTGCATACACATTTACGTACACATTCGGGTGAAAAACCATATCGTTGTGAATTTCGTAATTGTGGTTATGCTGCATGTCGTCGTGATATGATTTCTCGTCATATGCGTACACATTTTCGTTATGAAAATACAAATCAACAACAACAACAATCATCATCTTCAGGTGCCACCGGTGATGATATTTAATTGATCCAACAACCAAAAAACAAACAAAAAATCATATCGAAAACCGGAACAGGACCTCAAAATGAAACTAAAATGAAAATCCAAATAATCCACACACAAACACTGTCCACCTAGAAAAATAATTTATTTTTTCATTCAATTTTTGTTTTGTTGTTTTTCCTAAAAAAATTATATATTTTTTTAATGAAATTTGTAATTTGAAACAAACAAAACACTCACAACAAAACCAAATAATGATTATCCAGTGATCTCTCTTTTGAATTGTCGCCATATTTTTCTTCTTTTGCTTTTATTTTTTTAATCCTTTATCCAAATGATGATTATTTTTTTTTAATGAAATGAAACCAATTTTGCCATAAATTTTGTTAATCTGTGTGTTATTAACCCAATATTTCTTTCTTTAATATTTTTTTAATACCTTTTTTATGTTCTTCTTCTTTATATATCATATATAAATGAAATAAAATACAAATTTTGAACGAAATTTTTGTTACAAAATCTTTTTTTGCTCGTTGCCGTACCCGAAAAAAACAACAAGATGAAAGAATTTTGATTGTTATCGTCATCGTCATCATCATGGTACATGGAACAAAAACAACAAAAAAAAAGGTTAAAAGTCAATGATAATCATAGGGCTTTTATATGAACATACTACCATATTTAAATCGATGATGATCATTTTGTTTTGTTACTTTGGTTGAAATATTGAAAAAAAAACAACAACCAAAACTACAAATGAGTGGGTGTTGATGGTGATCAAAGATGATCATTATAATCACCATTATCGTCATCATCGTGATTATTACCCTCCGACCAAACACCATTTATGTTTTGTGTTCGAAATTTTTAACATTCGATTGAAAAAAAAACGACCTATATATAGCAAAATAGTCGATAACCTGTCATTATAGCCATTTTGTTTTGTTTCAAAACAAAAACATTCGATCGAATGTTTTTTGGTTTCAACAAAAAAAAAAATTCATCAATTTCATTTTCTTTTGAAAATATAATTTCAAATTATGAAAGAATTTCTAAATATTTCTTTTGTAATTTTGAAAATTTGTTGTTATTTGGTAAGAAAAAATACGAAAAAACAAGATGTCGTCATCGCCCACACGTTCCAAATGTTTTTTTTCTTGTATTTACAAAATAGTCCGAAAAAATACTTAAATTAATTTTCATTTTCATTTTTCAAAAACTTTTCGCATTTCATTCTCCGAATCATTTTCCGAATCAATCAAAAATTCAATGCAACAAACAAATCAACAGGTAGTTCCATCATCGGGTTTTTTCCTCCTTTTCCATTATTCATTTCAATAGATTTTTTTGGTCAATAAACAAAAATTTCGTTTTCACCGAATTGAAGAAAGACCAAGTCAATTAATTTGCATTTAAGATTTTTCGTTCCTCGTTGCTGACTGAAGTGGTATTGACCACCACCGCCTTCACCAATGGCCCATTTTCTATTCATGAAAATCATATCGAAAAAAAAGAAACTAAAAATAGCTAAACAACAATGCCTGCTGGAACCACTAATGGAAATCCTAAGGGCTACCGTATATATGGCCCATAGGCCTTACTGTTAATTTATTTTCCATTTCCATTTTGTTTGTTTGTCGCTGAATGTTTTTTCATTTAATTTTCAATCAATTTGTTTTTCGTTTTTCATTGAATTTCATTATCAAATCTATATAAAAAAAAATATTGATGAAAATGAAAAGTTTTATTTTGTGCTTTGTTCAGGAAAAAAATTTTTCCTTTTTTTTCCTTAACATTATTGGGTTGAAAAATCCTCATCAACATCAAAAGACCACCAAGCTGTTTGTTTGTGTGTATGTATGTATGTGTATTAGGTGACAATTATTCAATTTTAGATTATACAACATAAGTTTTTTTTCATTCTCTTTTCTTCTATTAATAGGATTTTGTTTGGGTTGTTGATTTTTTGATTAAAAATTTAAATTTTGTTGATGAATAGGGGCGTTTGTGAAGAATGATTGAATGAATGAATAAAATGAATTGTTGTCGAGGAAAATTATAAAAAAAATTTGATTACAAATTAATTCAATCTGTTTTTGTTGTTGTCGAATGAATCTGTTTCATTGATAAATTTTCAGTTGATGGACGTGTTGATGTTGTCGTTGATGAACCACCATCTATCATGTCTAATTGTTGTCGGTCACTAGATCTTTCATCAATATCATCCTCATCATCATCATCATCACCTTTATATGGTACATAAAAATAGGCCATTACAGCAAATATTAATGAATCGATAAACATAAGACCGAAAAAGAAGAAAACTTCATATGATTGTCTTTCAAATTTTACTAATGTTATAATGGCCACAATAAGATTTCCGAATGCAACTGTCAATAACCATGCTGCTTGCAATACAGATTTCATTGATTTTGGTGCTTGTGAATAGGAAAATTCAAGTCCAGTAATAGAGAATAGGATTTCGCCTGCTGTCATTATAATATATTGAATTAATTGTAAAAATACTGATAATTTATTTGCATCAACAATGCCGGTTATTCGTGATATTGGTTCAGTATTTAGATCACCATCTATTATTTGAATATATGTTGCACCTTCTCCCATCTTCGGATATGTCATTTGTCTATTCTTTCCGATATTTAGGACAATATCTTTGCCAATAATTTCCACTTCGAATTCATTCAAATAACCAATCGTTCGACCATCATTAGTTTGCTGAACAATATTTGTAATTAGATCATCTTTATGACCTATGATTGAAAATTTATCATTATCTTTATCAAAATTTTTCAGATCAAATATAGTAAACAATCTAGCTCCGCTTGTATCCGGTTTTACCAATGTATTGTTCCAGATAAATGTCACTGGTATTTCGGTATCATAATAAAGAACTAATGTTTTACCATCGGTCAAATTTTCTTTTCCAAATTCTGATTCCAACAATGATCGGTTCATATTGTCAATCATTTTGATTTCGTTTGGCATGATTGTAATATTGGATAAAATGGTTAAATTTTGTGGCATATTATTAACGATGGCTAAATGATTATAACCAGGTATCATTGAGGCAGGAGCTTCAGCTTCGATTGATCGTTGAAAAAAACCACAAACACAAAATGACAATGATGCTAATAGACTACCAATAACCATTCGTTTCAATGGAGTATAAAGACCAATTTTTTTCATCACTGGATAAACAAGATAATCAAATATTGGTACAAATAATATGACCAATAATGGATTAATAACTTGAATTTGATCTGGTTTTATGATAAAATGTGAAGTAAGTTGATGATTCATTCGAATTGCCTGTAATGTCCATCGAGATGCTTGTTGATCAAACAATGCCCAGAAAATCGGTAATGGTATATACAGGAATAGTACACGAAGCAATGCTTTTACATCTTTACGTGTTTTATTCTTTGAAAATCAAAAAAAAAAATCAATCAGACCAAAAATCAATAAATTGTTTGCTTACATCATATTTATCATCAGCATAATCGATCCAATGTTCTTTTTTTGTTGAGTTTGATGAAAAAAATCGTCGACAAATTGCTCGCTATAAATTAAATAGAATTATGCGATGAAATAATTCTGACAAATACAGATAAACAATTAACTCACTCCGATACAACTAAAAACACGAAATACAACATTATCTTTTTCCGGTGGATTGATTGTATAACCGGACACAAATTTTCCCATTATAAACAATAATAAAGCGACTACCATCAATATGGCCGGTACACCAAATGCTAATGGATAACAATCCGATCGACCAAAACATGAAACATCTTGTCGTAGAATCGGTGTTAAAAATGTTGATACTAAACTACCCGAATTGATGGCAATATAGAATAATGAGAAAAATTTTCTCAATTGTTGTTCTTGACCGGGTTGAAATTGATCACCACCAAATGCTGAAACACATGGTTTTATACCACCGGTACCGATTGCAATCAATGTAAGTCCAATAAATGATGACCATATTGTACCAGTTATTGATGCACCCGCTATAAAAATATTACCAGCTGCATATAAACATGATATACTTAATATTGTCCAATATTTTCCCAAATATGAATCGGCTAATATTGCACCAAAAACTGGTGTAAAATAACAGGCCATTACAAATATATGATATATTTGTGTAGCAAAATCATCTTCAAACAATAATACATATTTGAAATAAAGAATCAAAATGGCTAAATATTTTTTGAAGAGAAAAAAAACATTATTTTCGAATCCCTTTATCAAAATAATAATTTAAAAAAAACTTACTTCGCATCCCATAAAAGGAGAAACGTTCACAAAATTCATTACCAATAATGAATAGTATAGATTTTGGATATGGAATTTTCTTTTCACCTTCATTCTCTTTATCCACTGCATAGGAATCGGAATTCTGTTTTAGGGAAACAAGAAAAAAAATTTAACATTGAAAATAATATTTAAGTTTTTACCAATTCTACTAACATCCATTTCATTTGGATTTTTCATCTTTTTTAATCAACAAAAATTATTTTGTTTTTGTTTTTTACAAATCACAAGAAAAAAAATGTACGATTTTCATCAACCAATCAACATTGATAAACAAACAAACAACATTTAAAAGGATTACAAATAAATATAACTTTTTTTAAGAAAGAATGGTCAAAATAGAAATTTCTTAAGTTTTTTCTCTCGACACAAACACACGACGATTACACCAACAAAAAAAAACATTTTGTCATTTGTTTTTATTATTTACAACAATAAATACGGATTTCAAGATTTTTATTTTGTTGCATTTGGTAGATCAAAAAAAAAAGTTGATGAATTAGGTTATAATTATCTTAAAATAAAATAGCCATATAATTGATGATGGCAATCATCATCATTATAAAAATAAAAATAACCGATTGTTGTCGTACGTTTGAGAAACAAAAAAAAAGAATGTGGACAAAAAAAAAATTTTCATGTGATTTAACGGATAAAACCGGCAAATATGCCAAACGAAAAAAAAGAAAGTTGATAATGAAGGTTATCACTTTAGATAATTATTATATGATCATTATCAAACCAAACAAAAAAAATTAACTGAATTTTATTTACATAAAATGTATCTAAAAATCATAAAATAATAATTTTTTTAAAGAAAAAATTTTTAATGATAATTTCAATGATCATTATGAAATCGCAAACACAGACAAGCACAAGCATTCATCACTAATAACATTTCGAATGTTTTGAAAAAATAAACATTCGAAATTGGATTTCGGAAATGATTGACTCATCTCATACGTAAACAACGTAACCATGTGAATGATCTTTGGTGATTTTTAGATTTAAATTAAAAAACAAAAAACAAAAATCACTATCCGAGCAACGGTTAATGATCGATTGATTGATTGATGAGTTTTTTAATTGAAACAATTAAATTAAATTATAACTACCTATACACACACACACATTCTATTTTTCGGATTAATTGATTTGATTAACTGAAATTAATCTCTAGGATACAATTAATTGATGTTTTTTCACTTGATAACGATAATGTTTTTCAAAGTAAAAGAATAAACAATAAAGCAACCTACCTTTGTCATTCTCTCTCGCTCTTCCGTTGTTAAATTTGAAATCAAAAAGGATCAATAATTATTGCAAAATGGAAATTCCCGGAAAAAAAAACAAAACAAAACAAACAAATTGAAATACCACGTTTTTCACCACCAACACCACGAGGAAAAGATAAATAATGTTGACGGAGGGAAAAAAATCTAATCCAAAAATAGGAATGAAAGAGAGGGTGTTGGCCAAAATCAAATGGGTGGATTGGTCGGGCTAAGTTGATCGGTTAAAGTCGGTTGGATAAAAATAGACACTGAAAATTCCGGATTCGAAAAAAAAGAATAACATTCGAAACTCGAAACACACATCGAGCTGTGTGTGTGTATGTGTGAATCAAGAATGTCAGAATTGAATTATGATGTGATAATCTTTGTTTGTCTCGTTTTCAGGCTTCTTCAGCATTGAAGATTGAAAGAAAGAAAGAAAAAGAGGTTTGGGAGAAAATCTTCAAGTTTTTAAATAAAAATATCACAACATCAACAAGATGAATGACTAGTGATTTTTTTTTCATTTCTTCAATTCAATTCATTTGATGACAACTTATCTTTGCAACAACAACACCGACAACAATAAAAAATAATGATTGATGACCATCTTCGGTTGAATTTTATCTTATTTTTTTTCTCGCAAATCTGACAAAGAGTTCAACGTTCAAAAGAAAATAAGTTTTTTTCCCAAAGTTGTTTAATCTATTAAAACTGAACAAAATAAACATTTGTGGATTTTATTTTCATCATCAACGAATGACAAAAAAAATGGTACATCGGATCGTCTGTTTTGCTAACTTTTTGATAATTAAATTTTTCATTTCTGGTTTTGTGAATGATTCGGCTAAAATTTTTTTTCTGTTGTAAAACTAATGAAAAAAATTCAGCCCTTTTTTCATTCTCCATTTCAGGTGAATAAATGTTAGTCGAGTTGGACGAGGTCGAATCCTTCCAATACAATACAATACCAATATCAATATCAAAATCATATGATTAATAATTTTGTCAAACTAAACACCTGGGCGACCAAAAATATGTTGTAATTTGGAATTTTTTTTCACCATTTTTTACATTATCCATATTTCCGATTAATAATGTGAACTATCATCAACAAATTTAGCACACACGTGATAATATGTAAATTATTAGACATCCCATGACATCCGACGATCATCATCATCATCATCATTACCTGAAAACCTGTCATTCATCATAATCACCTGGTGTGATTTCTTAATTGAAATTTTGGCTGCTGATGCTGCTGTTCCAAATAGGAAATGATTGTCCAAATAAAAAAAAACTGGAACAAAATATTTTACAATGTCATCAATGTTTTTTGGATGTGCCATTCACATGTGCACTTATCAAGGTTTTATATCAATCATAAGATTTATGGAAAATTTTTTTTAAAAGAAAAATAAATGAATTTATTTAAAAAATTCAATTCAAATAAATTCATTAATATTTTGCTACAGAATTTATTTTTTATTTTCTTATAAATGGCTATTAAAGAAAAATTTTGTAACGGAGGAAAAAAAATTTGACAAATCAAATGGATGACTGGATCCTGAATTGATTTTATATTTGTGGTAAACTTAATAATGTATTTTGACCAGGCGGAAGATAGGCAACATTACGTGAACGTGATAATAATTTAGCAATATCTTCCGCAGCTTCCATACGACGTAATTCAACTAATGCTTCACCACAATCACCAAATGCTTTTGCTAATAATGATGCGGCTTGTGAATCACCTTCAGCACTAATAACGGCTGCTTTTTTCAAATGTTCAGCTTTTTCTACAACAAATCTAGCACGTTCAGCATCTTGTTGTGCAACTTGTTTCATTTCAACAGCAGCAGTAAATTCACGACCAAAACCTAAATGTGTCTATATTAAGAAAAAAAACTTTTAAGAAAAGCAAATTTTAAACAAATTTTAAATTAATTTACCAATGAAATATCATCAAGCACAAGACCAAAATGTGATGCACGTTCAGTTAAATCTTCACTAACACGATTTGATACAATTTCACGCTGTGTAATCAATTCACCTGCATCAAATTGTGCAACAACAGCTTTCAAAACTTCATTTGTAATTGATGGTAGAACACGTTGATCATAATCTTCACCTAAACTACTATATAATTTAGGTAATTCAGATGGTATTGGACGGAATAATATTCTCAATGTTATATTGACTGTTTGTAAATCTTTACTACCAGTCATTACTGATACAGTTTTTGGTCGTGATCGTATATCATAGATAATGGCACGTTGTACCCATGGAATTAAAAAATGTGTACCTTCACCGACAACATTTTTTTTAATACCAGTAAAACGATCAAAAATTACTGCTCTTGATCCACCATCGACTAATAATTTAAAAAAACACAAATGAATCAATGATTAAATTGAAAAACAACAATAATTCTTTTACCATTATACAATGAAGTATTGATAACACTTGCACCGATAGCCAAACCGATACCTAAACGACCAAGACTGTTGAGAAGTTGTCCAGCCATATTGTTATTTCAATAAATTTACAGTGAAAAAAATATTCAAATAAGGAAACAAATTGAATCAATGACAATTTGATTTGTTCAAGATTTTAATCAAAATTTTCAAAACGAAAAGAATTCTCACGCAATGTTATTTCATCAAGCATGGCAAAAAAAAATCATATGAAAAAAACGAAGAAAAAAAAAAGAACATTCGATCACGTACCGTTCAAAAATGACAGGACAATTGAATTTTTTTATTTTATTCGGAAATTTTTCCAATATTTTTCCCAACAAAAAAACAAAAAAATTCAATTTTAAAATCAAATAAATTTCAATCAAAAACCTTTTTGATATTCAAAAAAAAAATTCTTTTGAAAAAAATGAAATAAATTTTCATTCACAAATCATAAATGGAATCTTCCCCCCCTTCCCACCACCGCAAACAAAAAACCAAAACAAAAATCCAGAATATAGCAGCAGCAGCAGCCATCAAACAACAGCAGCAGCTACCACACGAAATGAAGATCATCAACAAAAAAAAAAAAAAAAATTCAAAGAAAAATTATATAGCAAAAAAAAAAAAAAATTTTCAACCATAGAATTCCATAGTTAAACGAACAAAAAACTCTATTTNGCAGCAGCCATCAAACAACAGCAGCAGCTACCACACGAAATGAAGATCATCAACAAAAAAAAAAAAAAAAAAAATTCAAAGAAAAATTATATAGCAAAAAAAAACAACAATTTTCAACCATAGAATTCCATAGTTAAACGAACAAAAAACTCTATTTTGTTTTGGTTTTTCGCTAGGTTTCAATGGATGTTTTTCCCATTTTCAATATCATTTTCAATATAGAAAAGAAGAATTCTCTCCATCCCCATTATATATCCATCTATCTTAAACATTGTTTGCCATTTCATTGACATTACAACCGTGTGTGTGTTTTTTATTTGTTTGTTTGTGGTGTTTGTTTAATATCTTTATTAAAAAAGAACAAAAAAAAATTACTATTAAATAATGATAATGTTGGCTCATAATAATAATCCCAGACAGACAGACAGAAGAAAAGAATCAAAATGTGTGGATAACATAATTTGTTTTTTTTTGAAATGAAAAAAAAGCTAATTACAAATCAATGATGTTGATGTTAAGCAATAATCAACGAATTTAGCTCAAAAACAATGTTTACCTTTTTCAAATCATCATCATCACACATCAAATGAGTTTTGTTCATGAATTTTTTTTCCTTCTTCTTTCTGTTTGTGTGTTTGTGTGGGCGGAAAAATAATCAGCTGATATTCTTTATTTTTTTTTTTTAAATGTAAAGAATATTTGTTCGCTTAATCTCTTTCTACTTACTTTCATATCATCAATGAATTTATTGAATAGCCAAATTTTCGACTATTTAAATCAAGTGTCTGTGTTTGTCAAAAATTTGTTTAACTTCACTCCAATCAATCAAATAATTCATCTCTAATCTCTTTGATATTGATTACTTCAGATTCTGATCTCATCATAAACAAAATAATGGATCAGGGAACATTGATGATCAACCATTTGCTTTGATATAACCAAATGAAAATAAAATAAAACTTGAATATTTACAACAAAAATGGACCAAGATACATTATTATCCATATCACATCTGCATAAACAATTTGCCGATATAAAACAAAATGCACCATCAATTGGTTCATCACAATCGGCAAATGAATTACATGAACAAAAAATTTATAATATTTTACCATTATTTTGTAAAATATTTAATAATAACAACAACAATAATTACTATCAACAACAACAACAACCATCGACAACAACAAATTCAAATGAATTATCTACAAATATACCAAATATTGATATATTTGAAACATTTGCCGATGCAACATCATTCACTCAGATGGTATCAAGACTAATGGTAACCGAGATTCGTCGTCGTGCATCAAACAAAACAACCGAATTAGCATCATTAGCAATTGTTGAATTTTTAGAAATTAGTCCAACCATAACAAATATACCGGCAAATAAAAAAGGATGGATCCTGCTATCAACATTGAATATTTTAGTTTCATTTAATTCATCACAATTGATTGCTATTATGACTAATAATTCATTAGCATCAACATTAGTTAAATGTTTATATCTATTTTTTGATCTTCCACCGTTCGATGATAACGATAATAATGATGAAAATAAATTGAAAATCGATAATGATAATGATGATAATAACGATGATAATGATGATTATTATCTATCAAACAATGAACGTCGACAATTATTACAAAAAGTATTTTCACAATTATTAACACGTTTATGTATATCACCAACAGCATTAAATGATTTAACACGTAAAGATGATTTAATATTATTATTTAATGTTATAACATCATGGTGTCCAGAACATAATTCAATGTGGCGTAAGACAGCAGCCGATACAATCATAACGATGGCTAAACATGGAAATCTGAATGTTGATTATTTACATTCGAAAAATTGTATACATTTGTTTGTTGAAAATGTACAAAGAATATTAGAATTAGGTACAGCACCTAATAATGAAATTATATTAATGATACGTACATTTATATTGTTCATGTTAGAATATGTTAATCATTATCAAAATTCGGGTAATACAAATAATTCCAATCTAGCCATACAAATACTACTGGATGATTTTAACGAATGTTTTGGTTATCAATGTTTTGTTGATTTTGGTATTAAATTAGAACAATCTGAAGATTTTAATTTATTAGCTGAATTTATTGATTTGATTGGTTGTTTTACAAAAATCGGTATTGAACAATTAAAACCACGGCCATTATCAGTAAATCAAGTATTTATTATTGAAAATTTTTCCATACCAAAACCATCGTTAAAAAATTCGATAAAAAATCTTAAAGCATTCAGTATTTATGTATCATTATGGCAAAAATCACAAACAATTCCGCTGCAACAAATGATTTTGAATCAAATTCAACAAATTTATCGGGAAGATAAAGCAAATTATTTTCTATTAGAATCACAAAATACATTAAGTTCATTTGCCGATCGTTTGGAAGAAAAAAATGAAACGATACAATCGATATATTATTCGATATTAGAATATATTGTAACCGAATTGAATTATGTTCCATGTAAAGAATTGATTACGATAGGTATGATATTGAAAAAACAACAACAACAAAATGATTCAAAAACATCATCCCTATTAGCATTACGATCATTAAATTCAATGTTAAAATTGAATCAAATTTTTAAAGAAGTATTTCGTGAAGTTGGTCTTGTTGATATTATTTGTACAACATATAATTTATTTATTGAAATGCTCGAACAACAACAACAGCAACAAAAATCTGCTGATGATAATGATGGTGATGGTAATGATTTATCACAACAACATATTGAATCGAATCTAACTGAATTGTTGGAAATTCTCATACAACTATTGTTGGGTCAATCGGTTAATCAAAATTGTCAAATTTTTCATGATCTTGATTCAACAACACATACATTCCAATTGATCAAATTATTAAATACTTGTACGACAGGTGGAAATAGTACTTTCAATAATAACGGTAACAATAGCGGAAGAGAATCATCAAGAAGTAATCGTGAATCAAATTCAATTGCCAAATCAATACGTAAACGTGCATTTACATTAATACAACAATTAATATTATCGACTAATAATAGTGAAGAAAATCTATCACAATTATTAGTTTTATTACATAAAGATCGTAATTCATTCAACAGTGTACAGGAAATGTTGAGTTTAAAATTATCAGTTTTAAAATCATTATTGATTGTATTGAGTGAAAATCATCGTGTACGTGCATTATTTCGTAAAATTGGTGGTTTTGTATCGGTTATATCGGTTATTGTTTATATGGAAAATTATTTAAGTGAAATACCATCCGTATATGTTATTACTGATAATAGTAGACAAATTTGGAATCTATTACGTTTTGTTTTTGCAACATTAACAACAGCAATGCGTTTTGAACCGGCAAATTCAAAATATTTTGCTCAAGAAATTTGTTCACCAAGTTTTACCGATTCATTACGATTGTTGGGTTGTTTTGATGAAATACAATTTGGTTGGCGAAAATCATCAATGATGATGGCTAAAAAAGATGAAACAAATTATGAAAAATTATTTGAATATAATGTTGATGAATTACCATCGAATCGAAAATATACAAAAAATGAATGTTCCTGTGTTCTGATGAGATTATTATATGATATGGCTATGGATTCATTGGATCGAAATAGTGGAAATACTGGATCACAACAACAACTGATAAAATCCTCAAATATGGATACAAATATAATCATTTATCCATGCATAATTGATTCAATATTTCAATTATTAAAATTTATTGAATCAGGTCGTTTATGTAGATTTTTAATGGAAAAAATCGGTACATTATTACGATTAGAACGTAATTGTCAAGTGATTTGTGAAACTGGTTTAGTTTCCGAATTAATGCATTCAGCTTATTTGGATATTTTTATGGATGAATCAAATCAATTACATCAATTAATTCGTTATATATTTGAACGATTATCTGCACATCATATACAGGCCAAAGATTTACGTATATTTTTACGTTTATCAAATCCACTCAATTCAATACCATTGGATGAAATTAAACCAAAAATATTTAATCGTGATCGTTCAATACCATTATCAAGAATTAAATCAATAATAAGTATTGCTACACCACGTGATTCACAAGATGATGATCAATCAAATAATCGAATAATTCAATGTTCAAATCGTAATCTAACACCACCATTTACTGAATTTGATATGAATCCAGAAGGATTTAGTTGTATATTTATACCATCGATTGCACCTATTTCGACAGCAGGTAATTTTTCGAATGGTCCATCAAGTCTTTTGACTGGTGCAATTGTTGGTAATTCTGATTCACCTGTATTAGTTAATGGTGGTATTGGTACCGGTGAACGTGCATTTCCATCACAATCTGGTCTTTCATTTACAAGTTGGATTTTTATTGAACGTTTTGATCAAATTAATGATAATCATACAATCAATGTATTAACATTATATCGTTCAACACAACCAAATGCTGAATATTCATGTTTAAAAGCATATATAAGTTTACAGGAAAAAACAATGACTATTTCTACACAAGAATTACCAATATTTACAACAATGAATATACAAATGAATCTTGATTCAGATCATAATGTTAGATTTCCAGTACCGGAATTAACAACAACAAATTCATGGCATCATATTGTTATTGTATTGAATAGAGCATTATTAAAAAATTCTACAATTTATGTTTATATTGATGGTTGTTTACGTTTATCAAAAAAATTAAGCTATATTTCATCAATTGTTGGTGGTAGTTATGGTATTACAAATACAAGTCCATTATATATAAATGCATTTATTGGTACACCACCACAATATCGTAAACAAGGTTCACAATTAGTTTGGAAACAAGGTCCATGTCATTTGATTGAAGAAGCATTAGGTCCACCATTTGTTTCATATATTTATATGCTTGGTCCTAATTATATTGGTAGTTTTCAGGCTATTGCATATAAACAACAATCACATCATCATCATCATCATCATCAACAACAACAACAACAACAATATCTACAGCAACAATTATTATTACCACAACAACAAATTGCTGAAGATAAATTAATATTTGGTTTAAATGCACGTGCAACATCAGTAATGACATTATCAAAAATGCGTCGTGTTTATTCAAAATTTGATTGTAAACAAATTGCTAAAATTATTGGCCTTTCAACACATGAAAATGCAACACCTATTTATGTATTACATAATTCAGCTGGACATTTATGTGGACCAAGTAGACCATTAGGTGGTGTTTTGATTGGTAATATTGGTGCACGATGTTTTGTACCAAAACCAATTACACTGACTGTAGCCGATATTGGTGGTACATATCTATTGTTAGGTTTGGTTGCAAATGCACATGATTCTGAAACATTATATGCAAGTTGTAAAACATTTTTATGTATTATTCGTTCAAATCGTGAATTACAACTTGAAATGGATCGTATTAATGGTTATCAAATATTATCAATGTTATTAAAACGTAAAAGATTATCATTAAATGTTCATATTCTTAATTTATTATTTGATTTGGTGGATAATCTTGATGCACGATTAATAATGAATCAGACAATAAATCGTCAAACAATTTATTCATCTGCAACAATTTCAAACGTTGCAAACAGTATCAATTCGATTGGTAATCAAAATAATAATAATAATCATTTAGAATATCCAAGTAATTATCGTGCATTTAAAGAATTATTTATCGATTCTATTGATCTTTGGCTGCAAAGTGAATTACTTAAACCATTATTAGATCGTATAAATGAAATTATAACATCAAGTTCAACTAGTTCAAGTATGGAAAATGCTTTAACAATTGAAACACGTTTAAATGTTTATCATTTACGTAAAATGAATCTATTGACACGTTTATTTTCATTGTTTAAAGATCATCCAGAATTAAAAGATGATGAAAAACTCATACCGATCATAATGATTATTTGTTTTCGTTTATTAAACAAAACTAATCGATCAAAAGATTTACTTTGTTTGGGACAATTTATTGTTTCACTTTTACCGATCAATAATAACGATGATCAACAACAAAAACAACGACAAAATGATCAATCGAAAACAATCGAACAATCGAATACAATGAACGAAACAATCGATTCATCGATTGAATTAATAAATTCTTTATTGAAAATTATTCTACAATTAATGAGCCGTAATTCACCATCAACAAATGGTCAAATGCAAGATGATTTGGTACGATCACTTGGTTTTGATTGGTTTCTGTTGTTTATTGGACAACAAAAACAATTACATCAGGAAACAATAACTATTGGTTTGGTCAATCTAATGTTATTATTATCGAATCCAATACTTTATGCAAAATTTCGTGAAGGTTTAACAAACGGACAATGGTTAAAAGATGCTGATTCATTTATTGAAAATCGTTCGACTGGTTTTCAATTGGCTGGTTTTAATATATCAACAACAAATACGACAACAACAACCGCAGCGAAAAATTCAGTAACAAAAATTCAACGTGATATATTTACATTACCCGGGTTTCAACATTTAAATTGGCTACTTCAATATCATCTATATGAACCGAAAATTTATCTAATTCTATTTCAAACAATATTTGGTTATTTTCGTACATTAACACCAAAAACATTAGAAGATATTGATTCATTTGATCAACTTTCATTGAATAATTTAATCCAAATACTTGTTAATGATCAAAAACAATTTAAACAGGAAAAAATTTATGGTAAAGATATTATATTATCGATTATTGTTATGATTAATTCAATTTGTTGTCATTCGATTGGAATCGTTAATAATGAACAAAATCAATTTAAATATAATGAATATCCAATAATATTGATAAATTTTATCAAATATATTTATAATTATAATCGTGATTTTCGTTTTTATTGTCAAACAAATTCTGAATTTCTTCATCATTTATGTCGTTCATTGATTGTAACAGATCAAGATGTTGAATCAACAACAACAACAACAACAGCGACACAATTAATTGATCATCCTGTTTGTCAACTGATATTAGAATTTATAATGGCCATTTTTATCAATATAATCAATACAAATCCATATACATTATCAATGAATCAAACACAACAATCATTATTTACAAATAATAAACCATGTCAATTATTTAATAGTTTATTAAATTATATGGGACAATGTCGTCATGGACAAACAAAAATTATATCATTATTTTTGGATTGTGTTTGTAAATCATTGGATTTTAATATTCAATCATCATCCACTCAGCATAATAACAACAACGAACAACAACAACAAAATATTATTTTAAATTTCCAAAATTCCTATTCTAATATTGTGGTATTAATGTCAGCGATTGTTGATAAATTATGGCAAAATTGTTATATTGATGATCGAAGAAAAATTCTTGATTGTCTTATTCGATTATTGCGAACAAATTCTTCCGTTGATACAGCAACGACGAAACAATCAACAACAAATTCATCATCATTGAAAACATCATTAAAAAATTTAACATCACAAATATCCGAATTGAATCTTCTCTATAAATCAATTAATCGTACAATTTTATTTCTAATATCACGATCACATGAAACAATATCGGATCGTATACAATTATTTGAAATATTACAATTAATACATTGTAATAGTCAATTATTAATATGTTCCAAATGTAATAATGATCATGAATTTTTTGCATGTTTAACATATTGTTTGCTGCAATTGGTACAAAACGAAACAATTAATTTAACACCAACAACGTCATCATCTTCAGGAACAAATATTAAAAATGATCGATCAACATCACAAACAACATGGTATATTGATAGTAATCGTAGTAATAATAATTCGCTAGATCAAACTGATCAAACTGATGAAGGTACATTATTAATAATATCAACAGTGAAAAAAATTTGGCAAGAAATTTATTTATCCAAGAAAAATTTCCTAGAAGAAACATTGAAGATTTCATTAACAATAAATAATTCTGCATTTGGCATTGAATCAAATGATTTAATAAAATTTCGTGATTTACTTTATGAACCTACGCAAAAATTTTGGTCAAATTATATTGACCAAGAACAGCAACGTTTGAAAAGAAAACCACCACCACAAACATCATCATCATTATCATTTGATTATCTACCATTATCAAATACAACGAATGTTTTATCGGAAAAATTTACAAATATTAATAAATTAAATAATTTAGTAACCAAATCGGCTGGTGGTTTTGTATCGAAAATTGTTGGCGGTACATCGGGTGTTGTTGGTTCAGCTATATCATCCGCAGTCGGTACAACACGTAAAGAAGTATTTCGTTCAAGTTTAAGTTCAGATTCAGCACATTTAACATCACATTCAACTATAGTGCCAACATGGACTTTGATGACAAAAAATGAAATCATTTATTGGACATCGATACATGAATTGATTGTTAAAAATTTTGTCAATTTTCAAGCCAAACAAAAACGTACATTAGATTATAATCTACGTAAATATGTTTATAGTGAATGGCAAAATAATGAATATGAATTTTTAACACGTGAACGTACAATATGGGGTCCATTATATGGTTCAAAACGTTTTGATAAATGGATGTTAGATATGACTGAAGGACCAAATCGTATGCGTAAAAAAATGATACGTAATGATGAATTTTATCAAAATTATCCATTCCGACCGGAATTAGAGAATATAAAATCACCAAAATTTCGTTCACCAATATCATTAGATTCAAAAGATTATTATCGTAGAATTTATTCGGAAAAATATTTTCATTTGGATAAAGATGATGATATACAATCATTTGAATATGAAATTGATGAATTACCATGTGCATCGATTAGTGATTCAAATGAAATATCAAAAGGTTCGGATTCAAATCGACCAAAAACATCATTATCAAATACTGATGATGATTATCAAGAATTTATTGGTGATCCATCCGATTCAATTGATATATTTGAATCAGAACAAACAATTAGTGAACAACAAATTAATAGTAATGATACTAACGTTAAACAACAACAACAACAACAAACATCAACAAAAACAATATCTAAAGATATTATAATGCATGAAGATAATAATAATAATAATGAAATGCAAACAATATTAAGATTATTGGAAGAAGGTGAAAAAATTTCACATATGTTTCGAGTGGCTCGTGTACAAGGTCTTGATTCATATGAAGGTCTTTTATTATTTGGTAATGAACATTTTTATCTTATCGATGGTTTTACATTATTAAAAACAAAAGAAATTCGTGATATTGATTCATTACCACCGGGTGTTTATGATTCAATCATACCAAATACACCAAGTTCAAGTTCCGTATCTGTTTATACTGGGAAAAAAGTATGTAATAAATTTGCATATGAAGATATACGTGAAGTACATAAACGTCGTTATCTATTACAACCAATTGCATTGGAAATATTTTCAATGGATGGTCGTAATTCATTAATGGTATTACCAAGAAATTTACGTAATAAAGTTTATGCAAGATTTTTATCTGTTGCTGTTCATATTACGGATAATGCACAAGATTCATTGATGGGACAAAAACGTAATGTTAATGTTGAAACAGGTGGTCTATTAAGTAATCTGATTGGTGAAACTTCTGTCACACAACGTTGGATTCGTGGTGAAATATCAAATTTTCAATATCTAATGAATCTAAATACATTAGCTGGCCGTTCATATAATGATCTAATGCAATATCCAGTATTTCCATGGATTGTAGCTGATTATCAAAGTTATGAATTAGATTTGAATAATCCGGCTTCGTTTCGTGATCTAAGTAGACCGATGGGTGCACAAACACCGGAACGTTTGGAACAATTTCGAAAACGTTTTAGTGAATGGGATACTGATACAAATATTAAAGGGGTATGTTGTTATTTTTTTTCCTTAAATTTTAGATTTTTAAACATTTTTTTTGTTGTTGTAAAGGGTGATGAACTTATACAAGGTGCATATCATTATGGAACATTTTATTCAAGTGCAATGATTGTTGCTTCATATTTGGTACGAATTGAACCATTTACACAACATTTTCTACGATTACAAGGTGGTCATTTTGATTTAGCTGATCGTATGTTTCATTCGATTGGTGATGCATGGCTTTCAGCATCAAAACATAATATGGCCGATTTGAAAGAATTAATTCCAGAATTTTTTTATCTACCTGAATTTCTTATAAATTCAAATCGTTATGATTTTGGTTGTAAACAAAATGGTACACGTTTAAATGATGTTATATTACCTAATTGGGCTAAAAATGATCCACGTGAATTTATTCGTGTACATCGTGCTGCATTAGAATCGGATTATGTTTCAGCACATTTACATGAATGGATTGATCTGATATTTGGTTATAAACAAAATGGTTTGTATTCAATTATTATTCTGTTTTTTTGAAATTGATTTTTAAATAAATTGATAATGTTTGCTTTATTTAATAAATAAATAGGTCCGCCAGCAATTGAAGCAGTAAATGTATTTCATCATTTATTCTATGAAGGAAATGCCGATATCTATAATATTGATGATCCATTGAAAAAGAATGCAACCATTGGTTTTATAAATAATTTTGGTCAAGTACCAATGCAATTATTTAAAAAACCACATCCACAAAAGAAAACATATCAAAATTCAGTATCAACACCATTAATATCATCATTACCACCATTATTATCATCAGTAAATTTAAGTGGTTCGAATACTGCAAGCAAAGTATTCATACATAATTTAGAATATTTAAAACCGATGATGAATCCAATCAAAGAACTTAAAGGTGCTGTTGGTCAAATTGTTCAACAAGAAAAAACAATATTGGCTGTTGAACAGAATAAAGTATTGATACCACCATTATATAATCGTTGTGTTGCATGGGGTTTTGCTGATCATAGTTTTCGTATCGGACCTTATGAATCGGATCGTGCACTTTATGTTTGGGAAAGTGAACTATTTCCACCGAATGGTGAAATTCTTTGTACAACTGTACCGAATTCTCGTATTATTATTACGGCTGGAACTAATTCAGTTATTTATGTTTGGCGTGTAAAAACTAAATCATTAACATTATCTTTGCATCAGAAATTATATGGTCATACTGAAGCGGTTACATGTTTAGCATCATCATCAGCATATGGAATTATTGTTTCTGGTTCACGTGATAAAACCTGTATTATTTGGGATCTTAATCGTTTTGTTTTTATACGACAATTAGGTGGTGGTATTGAATTAGTTCATCGATCACCAATTGCAGCAGCCGCTATTAATGATCTAACAGGTGATATTGCTACATGTTGTTCAACAATGTTATATCTTTGGTCAATTAATGGTGATCTTGTTGCACAAGTTAATACACTTGATTGTTCACCATTATCATCATCATCATTAAATTCACCACAAAATTCAGCACAAATATTATGTTTAGCATTTTCATCATATAATGAATGGGATGCAGATAATGTTATATTGACTGGATCATCAGATGGTGTTGTAAAAATGTGGGCATTACGTTATGTTCAAGAACGATTAGAAACAACAGATGAATCGAAAGAAAAAACACCATCTTCATTATCATCATCATCATCGTCGTCGTCGTCGTCATCATCTTCATCATCATCATCAACCGAATCACCTGTATCAGAAGAATTGAAAAATTCTATTTCATTAAATCCATCAAAAGATGAAATTGTTCGTCGATTATCGATAGTATCGACAAAAAATGAAAATGAAGATTCTGAAGAGAATACAGCTGATTCAACAACACCTGTTGATGATGAAGGTAATGATTTAAATGATTGGAATCGATCAAATAATCAACAACAACAACAACAACAATCGCATGTTATTCGTCCACATCCGACTATTTCATTAATACATTCAGAATCATTTACCGAATCAAAACCTGAACAAAAATTATTCAAAAATAATGAACCAAAATCATCAACAAAATTATTAGGAAATTCATTACAAACCGGTGGCACTGGTGGATCAATTCGTAATTCAAAATCCGATACAGCTTTAGCTGAATCATTATTGAAAACTGCTAATAAACCACCAAATCAATTACCACAACAAAATGATGATAAAGATCCATGTCTTAAGATTGGTTATCGTTGGACAACAAAATTAGTATTTTGTTCAAAATTAACAATGCATACAGCATATGAACGTAAAGATAATAAAGATCCGGCTGCAATTACCTGTATAGCAATATCGAAAGATCATCGTAATCTTTTTGTTGGTGATGCACGTGGACGTATATTTTGTTGGGCTGTAAATGAGAATAAAAATCTTGCCGCTGATCATTGGATTAAAGATGATGTTGCAACTAATTGTACAAGTTGTTCAATAAAATTTTCAATTACCGAACGTAAACATCATTGTCGTAATTGTGGTAAAGTTTTTTGTGCAAGGTAAATTTTTTTGTTTGAATTTTTAAACCAGAATTTTTCTATTTAAAACTGTATTTTTTTCTTCTATTTATTTATTACTTAGATGTTCAAGATTTGAAGCAGCAATTATACGATTAAAAATAATGAAACCGGTACGTGTTTGTCAAAATTGTTTCATCTTTTTACAACAACAACAGCCAAAATCAACCGGTTAAACATAAAAATCTAGTCAAACAGTTATACATCACCAAAAAAGTATTTTTTGCTGCTGTTCTTCAAAATCAATCATCCTATTTTTTTCCGCCACATTTGTGATATTTGTTTGGGAACAAAATCAATTACTTATCAAATAATTATCGATTGTATCGATTGAAGATCAGAAAACAATTCCACTTTTTTTTCCAAAACTTGAATCATCAAATTGTTATCATATGACACATTTTATCATTATCATCATCATTATTGCATGCATTTGTTTATCTTGGATATTATTATTATTTTCTTAAATTTTATTTTTTTAAAGTTTTTTTTCTCTCGTTTCATTGATTAATAATTTTTTCTAAAAAAAAATTTGTTGTTTTTTTGATCAATACAGTGTCAATTGATTCGACTCAAATCGAATATTTTTTCTCCCCTCGTTCGATTCGAATTTCGAACACATTCTTTTAGATAATGAATTTGTAAACTTTGGATTTTTTTTGTGTTTAAAATTTGTAGAATTTGAAATTTTTTTTTTGTTTTGTCTCAATGAAAAATATTAAAAATGATGATTTTCAAAAATTTGTTTTAACAAAGGTTAATGTTGTAAAAAGGATTTCATTCATTCTTCATCAACTAAAAGATCTGATCAACAACAACATGTGATGATTATCGATGATCAGGATAATGGATCAGGTGGATTTTCCGGCAAATTGTTGTGTCAAAACTAAACTAATCGATAATATTAGATAAATGGCCATCGATTTAAAAAAATGAATGATTAATCATTTTGAAAATCAAATAATTTTCTATTTTCACGACTGGGATTTTTCGATCGATCAAAAAAACAAGAAGAAAAAAAATCGATAATAAATTGAATAAACAAATGACGACAACGACAATTGCAAAAAACGATCTAGATATCGATTGTCATAATGGATTTTGTCAACAAAAAAAAAATTAATTATTTTGGATTAATTAATCAAAAANATGGCTTGCATTTTTTATTTATAAGGATCTTTTGATTTTTACATAAACAAATGGCTGGCTTGCATTGGACTTGGCCTTATGACTAAGCTAGACTTCGTCTACTTAGTAGACGAAGCCAATGGCCAATGGCTTGCAATGCTAGTTGATTAATAATTTTTTCTAAAAAATATTTTTGTTGTTTTTTTTTGGATCATTATCAATAGTGTCAACTGATTCGACTCAGATCGAATATTTTTTCTCCCCCCGTTCGATTCGAATTTCGAGCACATTCTTTTAGTTAATGAATTTGTAAACTTTGGATTTTTTTTTGTGTTTAAAATTTGTAGAATTTGAAATTTTGTTTCTGTTTTTTTTGTCTCAATGAAAAATATTAAAAATGATGATTTTCAAAAATTTGTTTAAAAAAAAGGTTAATGTTGTAAAAAGGATTTCATTCATTTTTCATCAACTAAAAAAAATCTGATCAACAACAATAACAACAACATGTGATGATTGTCGATGATCAGGATAATGGATCCAGGTGGATTTTCCGGCAAATTGTTGTGTCAAAACTAAACAATCGATAATATAGATAAATGGCCATCGATTTTCTCAAAAAAAAATGAATGATTAATCATTTTGAAAATCAATTTTCTATTTTCATGACTGGGATTTTTCGATCGATCAAAAAAAACAAGAAGAAAAAAAATCGATAATAAATTGAATAAACAAATGACGACAACGACAATTGCAAAAAACGATCTAGATATCGATTGTCATAATGGATTTTGTCAACAAAAAAAAAATTAATTATTTTGGATTAATTAATCAAAAAACAACAACAACAAAAACAAACAAACAAAAATTTCGCAATCAAAATGAGATAAAGACGTGACTAAATCCAAGTTTATTCCTAAATCTATCTATTGGGTGAAAACAACAAACAAACAAAACGAAAAAAACAAGGCCAACGGATATTCAAACGATGATAATGATGATGATCAGACATCAGATCCTATGTCATGTATTGAATGATGAAGGAAATCGTCTTTTTTTATTTGTTTTGCTTGCTTTTCACATGATAATCATTCAATAGGAAATCATTATTTTTTTTTGATCATGGTCAATGAGTTTTGCTTGATGTGAAATTGACCTTTAGTTGGCGATGATCATTACAGGTTTACCTTGATTATTTATCGGAATTTTATTGAAGAAAATAATAAAAAATCAAGGCGATCCAGTGCAGAATCGCTCAAAACTTTTTTTTTCCTCATTTACCATTTTAGCATATTAACACCGAGAGAGCGAAAATGGGAAAAAAATTGAGCAATTTTTTTTTGGTGGCGGAATTTGGTTGGATTAGAATTTCGTTTTTCTGGCTATTTTTACAGTTTGACATCGATATTTGTATATAGGAACCAACAACAAAAGGACTCCACCTTTATTTATAGCCAAACAAATGTTTTTTTTTTGGCTGTCTCTTTTGTTTATTCTTTTTTTTATTATGGCGCATTTGATTCTGATGTGATGTATTTGTTTGTTTGTTTGATCATATAATGTTTATTCTGTTGTGATTTATTTCAAATGATCATTCACGAATCTTCGAAATATTTTCAAACAACCAAAAAAGAGTATGTATTGATCACGAAATTGGAGAGAATTTTTTCTGTTTGTTTGTTTGATCAATTGCTAAAAAGCACATTTTGTTGTTTTCGTTGTTGGCCATCATCATTATCATCGAAAATGATGGCCTTTTTCTTATTGATTTCTGTCAAATCTTCAATCATCATTTATCATAAATGATAAAACGAAGAAAGTTTTGATGATTTTTCTTCTTCGGATAAGTTATGAAAAAAAACCCTTGTTGTTGTTGTTTTCGTACATCCAAACACTTGAGTAAGAGCGAGAAAAAATTCCCATATCGAATTTGTTTTGACAAATTTGATTTTCATTGTTTTTTTTTTGTTGTTTCAATGACCATTATCATCATCATTGACCATAACAACCAACAATGAAAATCTAAAAATGTTGATGAATTTATTTATTTGTTGGTCAGTTGATAAAAATATCACATGTTATTTGTCGTTGTTGAATAGGTTTGATTTTTATTTATTTGGATTTTTTTATAAATTTCTAATCTTGAATGTTTTTCACGTTTTAAAAGTTTTTTAAAAAAAAAAACAAACATTCGAATTATCATTCGATTGTTTTGATGATGAGGAATAATCGATAATATCGATAGGCTATCCTTCGAATTTTCCTTTCCTTTATCCTGTTTCCTGTATCGAATGTTGTTGTTGTTCGAATGAATTTTGAACAAACATCGATTAAAGACGAAAGCAAAAAAAAAAAAAAAAAATTTTGATAATTTTTTTTGATTAAACGAGGCGATT